TACATTTTCTGATACATATTGATGTACTTATGCTGTGTAAAAAGTNTGAGCTGATTCCGACTTCAATATTTCGAGTTATGGCCATTTTAAGAAAGTAGTAAATTTTCTGAGAAAAGCAAAGACTATGATTTTTTCCAAAAATTGACTGCGAAATGACTCTCAACTTTTTATTACATTTTCTGATACATACATTCATCTACGCATGTAGTTATTATTAATTATTATTATTATTTATTTATTTACTTATTTATTTTTCCATTAGATTGCTAGACTCTCTATGGTACCACAGGACCAGTTGGTGTCCCTCTTACAACATATTGTTCTTGGTTGTGTTAGTGACAGTGTCACTGACTCACTGGCCCACACTAACCTACTCTATCGTATCATCGAACTACTCACTAAAGAGGACTGGTAGGGATTCAATGTACATGTACATGTACTGTAATGTATTGTATAGCAAGATATACCTTAGAGTGACTTTTAATTGTGGGTACTAAATTTTGCAATTTTAGCACAAGGTAGATTTTGCTGGTATTAAAAATTGTGATTAAGTAATTATTACTAATACATGGCATCATGATGTCATTATTAATAATTGCGTGTATTAATAATTGCGATTTTTAACCCAAACGCAAAATTCGCAATTAATAGTACCCACATTTAAAAGTACCCTTAAGGTACATGTACTGTAATGTATTGCATAGCAAGATATAATACATGTACATGTATACATGTGCAAGATACAGTGTATACAATATTTAAGATACATGTACATGTATGTATACACATCTACATGTACATGTACATTTGTATTTTGTGGCACCATTTTTTTGATTATTTGAAATTTACAATTTGCTACTTTTTGGCCATTTTTTGTATCGCCATGCATACAGCTGGAAATTTTGAGTGATTTGTACATGTACATGTATAGGCTTAAATTTTTTTGGCCATTTTTTATTATGCATGGATGGTTTTACACATGTTCATACATGCATGTGTACATGTATTGTTATTAATCTCTTATCTCTCCCTCTAGCTGTATTTCCTCTCATCTCTCTCAAGTCCTCTTAGTCAATTTGATTCCAATTGGTAAGGACCTCATTAAGACACTCCATCACTTGGAAGGAAAGCAGTACACAATATTCAAGGATTACTTTCAATCCTGTGTCCTCCTGGCTGGGAACAGATCACAGAAAGGACATCTTGAACTAGTTAGAGCTGCTTCTGACTGGCTACCATTATGGTAACTGTATCTTATTAATAGTGTTTGTATTTTATGTCTCTTTCTCTCCCTCTCTCTCTTTCTCTTTTTAGTTTTGATTTGGTTAAGAACAACAGTACTGAATGGAAGAATAATAATGAAGTAAAAGCAGCAACACATATAGCATTGTACATGTTTTGGGAATTATTGCAAATTTGGATTTTTGGTCATTCACAAAAATTAAAATCTCTAATTTAATTTGATTGTGAAATATTTGAAGAATAGATCCCCAAAAATTGTAGTCTAAAAATGCATGTACAATGTACATGTATAATGTACTTTATGTACATACATGTACATTATGCATGTACATGTATGTACATTATACATGTACATGTACTGTACATGTGCATAATATACATGTACATGCATGTACATTTTATTTATTACATTTCCTTGTTAGATATTGTTACCATTGTACACAGTACTCAACTATGTGTCCAGCCTGTCCTCAGCAGCACAGCTACTCACTAACAAGTAATTAACTCTGACCACACCCACCACGAATAATTAATTAATTAATAGGGAGGCGTGTACCGAGAGAAGAGCTCTAGCTGCCGAGGATGATTATGCAATACTGGTAAGTCACATGATCCTCACATGACTGTTACCATGACAACTATAGATTGAAGAGGAAGAGGATGACTCCGCCTTACTTGACGAAGAAGAAAATGAATGCTCCGTAAGTTACATGTACATGTATAGGATCTCGTTACATGATAATTGCCATATTAGGAAGAGGAGGGTCTCAATGAGAAGCTGTGTACGTTCACAGAGACTAAGAGAGATTTTAAGAACCAGCACTGGTATCACTGCCACACTTGCAAACTAACTGATGGGACTGGCTGCTGCAGCATCTGTGTTAAAGTCTGTCATAAGGTGAGTTAGGGTAGGGCAGTAAGCAGATCATGATGTGATCATTTTCAAGAAAAACAATAAAACACACTAACACAGCATAATACATGTCAGATAAAAACACAAAAAATATGTAGTAATAAGTACATGTACATGCACAACAAATAATAATATGTAATGCACATATATACAAGAAGGGAGGAAGATAGAAAGATAGAGTTAATGAGACACATGCCCTTCAGCAAGAGCAAATTTTTCATGTATAAAAATTGTCACATCATTTGGATTCACGATTTTACAATTTTTGAGTCAAGATACACGTACATGTATTACAATCTTTGACAGATTAGCTCGCAGAACTAAAATGTAAAAATTGATTTCCACAAAATTTAGTACCTTGAAAATTGCATACATTACATGTACATGTACCTATTACACGTACCTTGAATACCTTGAAAATTGCATTTATTTGTACATATACAATGTATACCTATCACTTAATATTATTTACATGTACATGTACTATTTATCATTGCTTTCATTATGTTGCTTAGGGTCATGATGTCACCTATTCAAAGCTTGGCTCATTTTTCTGTGACTGTGGAGCTAAAGAAGACGGGAGCTGTAAAGTACGACAATAATACAATACCGGTATATAATGTAACCACACCCACTTTACAGGCTCTGGTGAAAAGAAGACGCAAGTCAGAGGACAATGACTCGTCATTTGGAGAACCCACCGGCCACTCCATAGCACCCAAACACACCGGGGGCAGACACAAGAGGAAGAAGAAGGGAACAAAGTGAGAGGGATAGAGGGAGGGAGAGATGGTTTAGCTGCTGTACATGTACATGTTTCATGAAGAATTTGCGGACGATTTATTTTGACTTTTTACTTATGCATAAGAGCACAAAATTTGAACCTGTAAAGACATGTACATGTATATGTATGATGAAATTCACTTCAAAATTTAT